TGAGCTATTGTCATATCAAATTGGGGTATACTGGTAAATAACTACTGCTATCATGAAGCTATTTAATATAAAAGAGAACAATGTGTTATCATCGTTTGAGTGTACCAGTAATGAGCTTTAAAGCATTTAATGAAACCTAAAGCAGTACATTTTAATCACAATAAATGTACTTTTACTCACTTTTAACACAACTAAGTAAATTCAAATCAAGTGTGATTAACTTTAAGCTGTGTTTAGTATGTAATTAATATAGCATAATGATAAAGTGATAAGTACATTGACAAAAAGCACAACCTAAATATGTTTTTCAGCTGGGATTTGTACGTAAGGAAATTACTTGAGCTAGGGTTGCATTTCCATATTAAGCATATTAAATATTAGCAATATTTGCAAGTTACATTACAACCAGTTATATTCTGCTCTGTATGTGTTTTTGTTGACAAAAGCTTCAATACATATTCAAAAGCTTTTATAAACCAGAGGCTTCCAGCTGTCTGTGTTGTTCCTCTCTGACCTTTCGGTTCCTGTAATTGGACACCATAAATCTGAAGCAGTCCTGTATATGCCATAATGTACAGGGCTGTGTATTGTCTGTGGGGATTTTATTCAAAGAACAATTCATACTGATACTATAGCAACAATATTCACAACCTAATAACTGCTGCTACTTCAAACAGCTGTTACACTGCGGCAGAGACACGTGTTTTAGTTCTGTAAAACACAAGTTGTCACTTTGCCATGTTTGAAATGTCCATCTAAAAATAAATGGAGGCATTTCTGGTGGCCTGAGTCAGCTGCAGTTACAAGTGTAAGACTGTCATCCGCTGCAGAAAGCTGAGGGTTAAACAAAGGACATCCTCTAATTTCCCAAGACAGTGTAAAGTATCTGATCTTCAAAGTCTGAGGTAAGAACAAGATAAATGTCCAGAGTTACAGTCCTTGCTGATGGAAAAAGGGGACAATAAGCATTATGTTATCACTGAATCAGAACATATCCCCACCCTTTGTAAACATACTCTGGCCCATATGTTGAGTTCAGTGCCTTTCATCTTTTAGTACAATGTTTACATGTTATGGCTTGTGTACTTTTGATCTTTACATTTAATGTTTCACCTCAGTAAAATTGTTAATCTAACCCTTTCATTAGATGCAGATTTGTACCCTTAAATTTCTGAAAAAAGGTAATTTCTGCCTTATTGTATAACATCAAGAAGCAGAAGCTCTGTGTTTGATGATGTTATTGTTGCTGGCTTTGGTAAAAATCTACGTTACACTGTGTTTTACATTAACCAATAAATCTTAGTCTGTAATGCTGCAGACTTAATAAATATTCATATCTTTTTTGATAATCTTTTTAAATGAAGGAAAACAGAGTTTCCCGTATTACATCAATATGATTTAAAGCAGAAAAAGTGAGCTGAAATGACACCTATAACAATAAAAAAATTGGATATTTATATATCTGGATTTTTTTTTAGCTATTTCTGGCATTCAAATTGTCCAACTTAAAGACAGTTAACAAACATTAGCATGTTCAGCCTTTTTCGAACATGAATAACAGAGTAATCCTGATAAGTCTGTCTTAAAATTCATCTGGTGCAACAAGTCTTTAAACCCAAACCTACAAAAGTTCAGGCTTATTGACCAAGACGTTTTAAGGCGAACCTTTTACATGATTTTATATGAGAACATATTGTGATCCATTGGTATAATATCACAATACATTTTTCATAATGAAAGAGTGCCTTCACTTACAACAAAACAACAACAACAAAATAAAAGTCTGACTGTTAAAGACCAATGGAGCCAAAGCATATAATGGCATTTAATTTAACATTATAATGGGAATTATAATAATTATAATTTTGCTGAAAATTGAAGCTGCTTTTTGACAGATTTTGTAAGGTTTCATTTTCAAAGATGAATTATAATTTTCCCTGAAAAGCCCTCTTTTAATCCCATTTGGGAAAACCTCATAAATAACGCACTGGTTTAAACTTTCTGCTCACTTTGTCTTTGTTTCAGGATACATTTCAAGATAACCTCATCCAAGATTAACAAATCAATCCTCACACTGTGTTCAAAGAACCAAATTAGCTGAGTGAGCATTCACTGGATTATTTTAGCCTGATAACAGCATGTTAGCCTGGATTAGCTAAACCACATTTGGAACAGAGCCCTGGCCGCTAAAAGAATCCCACAACAGTCATCCATGATCATGAGATGGTCATGGGAACTTCCTCACAAGTTTTGGTTTCTTGGACACAACAGGAAGCTGAATCATAAGAAAAACAGACATGTTGGAATTAGATGTGAAGCCTTAGACCCTCCATTTTCTCAGAATGATCCAGACCGGACACACAGACACACACTGTTTTATATATGTAAAGCCCAAATTATCTTCTTATGTTATTCTTATCTTATCTTTTCATGCTAACATATAACTTCAATAGTTTTCATCCGGTTTTGTTTCCCTAAATTTAAGTTAAAAGATAATGCTGATGGTTGTGTTTGGTCTGCTCTATATAAACGTGTCATTCATACTAAATGAGTTATAACGTGCAAAAACACTGTTGTGGTAGACATTAGTTTTCTGAGCAGCTGTCTGTCTGTCTGTACAAATATTACCAGATGAGGACCTCTGCTGTTTGTTATGCAGTCTAAGAATATTATTTAACCAAATAAAAACAGGTAAATACACATATATAAATGGCAAATTTGTCCCTTTAACCATTACAAAATCAATGTAGTCATTCACAAGCTTAAAGGAACACTTTAATAATACAGACAGGTTAGTGCCATATGAACACAGAAGGCAAGTGTGTATAAAAATGAAAAGCAAAGCAACATCATGATTGCAATAACACTCCTTCAGTAACAGCACACATTGTCATAATCACCAGACATGTTAAGCACAAATGAGCGATAAAGTGTGCTTGAATCGGCTCAGGTCATTATTATAATGAGCTATGATAAGAGTAATTTAACAGCCATAATATTATTTAGAATATTATAATCAATAGAGCAGAATATGAAGTTTTTGATTGTTTTGAATGGCTTAATATTTTCTTTTTACTTGAAAAACTCACGTTTAAAACATTTGTCGAACTGAGGAGGATCAGTTGTAATTAGGACGGCTCTCCATTCAAGCTTATTGAATGATGTTTTATGTTTGATAAGGCAGGCTACAGTACATTTTGTACATAGGCAACATTATGGAGAGTATTGAAAGGCACAATATTTCCCTGACCACTAGATGTCACTTGCTGCACGTGTGAATACTGAGTTTATGTATACTGTTGTGCAATTATTATAGGAAATATGACACTTTTCTCACGTTCAACTTTTCAATGTTACACATAAACACAATATAGTTTTGTTGTTATATTCACTGCAACCAGTTAAATGTGTCAAATCTTTCAGTATTACATAAATATTTGCAAAGAGGCTTCAATGCGTTTTTATATATCTTATCTTTACCAACTATTCTTTAAAATCTGGGGACTAATCTGCTCACTTTTCATATTAAAAACTCAACATGCTTATTGGTTAAACTCCTCTACCATTTGGTTCAGTAGTTAAAATGTAAGTCTTGGTTGGTCCATCTACCATGCAGGCAAACATCAAGCTTTTGGGCTCATGAATAAGTACAGCAACACCCCCAAAATAAAGCAGAACTCACAATGGGACAACTCCAGTCCCCACTCAAAATCCACTTCAGATCTTACTTTACACTCTGAATGGAAACCTGGCCAAACCTAACAATACTTCCAAGTCCAAGTGGCCAAAATAAAAAACACAAATGTCACAAATGTAAATAACATAAAGCATTATCTGTGAAACTTGTTACAAGTGCTTTTTAGAAATCAAAACAATGATTGCTGGAGAGGTTTAAGAGAGTTCAGCTACAGAGAGAGACAGAAAGCAGGGCTGAGAGGGTGGGGAGAGGAATGTGAGAAGCTGCTCTGCTGTGGATGGAGGGAAAACTGTCTCTTGTACTTTGGTAGCGTCTTCTGCGTCACAGCATCGAATTACACCCACAGCTGGACAAAGCATCTGTATTACTGAGCCCAAACTACACTATTTAAGGCCAGTCATTCAAAGGAACAGATATGCAAACAATAAAAATAAAATCATAAACATTATCACTGTGAAGACAATGGAAGCTTAATAATCCATCATTATACCGTAAGAGCTTCAACATGAATACGTATTGAGCACAGTAATACAAAGTGCATAAAAGCAAAGCATCATCCCATTAACACACTATAGTTCTGTAAACTTGGCACTACTAACATTGATTTTTGAATGTAGGAATTAAGAAAGCAGCTAAATCACAGGACAAAGATCAAGGCGAGAAAACCTGCATTCACATGGCTTGCCAAACAGTTTTACCTCGAGTTCAGCGTGACATTGTTTGGGAGAAAACCCACGAGTGATGAGTGCCAAGGCAGGGAAGTCCCGCTAATTGTTATTCACAGTTGGCTTTGACGGCAGTGGTTAAAGCTGGCTTTTAAACTTGGCACAAATATGCGAGAAAAATGTAACAATTAAACTAGAATACAATAGTGACCTGGGCTTTTGTCTCACAACATTCATCAAAGAGGAGAGAATGTAAAAACACACTTTCATCTCATAATTACACTTAAATCTGAGTAGTGCATCACAATGCATGAAACTAGACCACTGATCACTACGCTGATATTTACTGATAGAACCGGCTGGGGTTAGCACATTTGATTAATCGTCACATCATCAAATTAATAATCTGTAACAGGATTTAAAGAATAACCAAAGCTCAGTAATGTATTCTGATTACATTCAAATTACTTTGCCAGATTTCTTGGTACATTTTCTGGACAGAATCAGAGCCGGTATGTACAGTTAAGAATAAGTGTCTTTCATTAGATCCCAAATTAATTAAGAGAGCTATGAAATATAACAATTTTGTTTTGACACAAGACACAATTAAGCATATCATTCAATAACATACAAACACTTTACAGCACCTCCACAGATTGTCATTTATAGTCGTGATTATATCCTTATTTAACTCATTTAAGATATTTTATGAATAATATCTCAAATAACTGTACGGGAAATTTCTTATTTAAGCTTTCCTCTTGCATGCTGCAATATAATGAAGTACATATAATGTTGGCTACAATGCATGATGGGTAATCTTAATCATGACAAGGTGTGATGCATTCATTTCAGCTTCTTTATACAACGCTTCTTCTACTGTCCTACTGTTACAAATACCATTCTGGTTTGTTAGCGCTGTTGCCATGGGGACCCTAACATTTTGAAGCCAGAAACCCATCGTTTTGTCATTTTTAACAACCATATGTAATCAGAATACATTATTTCTCATGTGATGTAAGAGAATACTGATCATTTTTATTTCAAACACAAGTATCCCCCAACATAGACACTACACTGCAGACATATTGCACAACAAAATGATCATAAACATTTGAAAGCAATGACACAGTCAAAGAATTTATGGCATCTTGCTTTTCTTTTCTTACTTTTTTTTTTTAATAATAGGGAACTCACTGCGGACGTGCTTGAAAATATCATTCAAATAAACACTCAATCTTTCTCTGCTTTAACTTCCTCCGTGGCCTCTTCTTTCTTCTCGTTGACGGCCGCTTCAGTTTTTTCCACATTTTCAACCAGCTCAGGGTCGGACTTTGGCTTCTCTTCCTCTTTCTTAGGTTCAGGAAGAAGGATGACTTTCCCGATGTTTTGGCGTTCGTGCATACGCCTCATGGCATCCGCCACCTGACAAAAGACAGAGACAAATCAGAACGGATGTGCACAATAGGTTTTCGTCTGTCATTTAAACTCCTCCAAAAATCTCTGTTAATGTGAGTCACTAAAACCCTGAAAAAAAAAAAAATCAGTAGCTGCAGTTGAGACAAGTGGTTAAGAAAACACTGACATATATTCACCTTATAAAGTCAATATGTCCACCTGATGAAGTCTAATATTCACTTTCGTTTTAGCTCCTTTTTGGTCTCCACCGACTCCCGAGGGCAATATCTGACTCTTTAGCTGATACATCCTTGCTATGTTCACCAGCTAGTCAGCAAGTTTTTTCACCTGCTTGATCAGTCTGCAAATTATGCTGATGAGATGATCTATTGTTAATGTGAAAGTATTGATTAGAGCAGCTTTAAGTGTAAACAAAAACAGGTTCTTTAAGTGATCAATAATATCACTTAGAGAATAAGTTTATTATTGTTGTGTTTTAGCATTTTGAGATCCATGTTTATCTTTGGGTTAGTTCGTACTGATCTAATTTTTATTGCTTAATTTTAATTTGTACATTTTTTACATTTGTCTTTTTAACATCTTAGTGTTATGTATTTTATACAATATGTGGGTATCTCTTGGATTTAATGTGTCTTGTAGATCCACAAATAAATCAAATCAGAAACAGCGGCGTGTTTCCATAGTAAACAAAAGCTGAAAAATAATCTCCTGAAGACTGTTTTAATTGGGCCAGTTTCTCAGTGACGCTAATGACCAATCAGTTAAAATGAGGAGGACGATTAAGGTAAACAATGGCTATCTATGCTATGAATCTTGGCCATAAGTCATCTGCACTTCCTATCATTTCCTGCCTTAGCTATTGTCTGTTTCCTGCTTGCAAACTCACTGCCAGGATAATTACACTTGTCCATCCTTAAAGCCAGCCAGAGAAACTCAAAACAAAGACATCCCCGTAAGTAGTGGATGCCACGGCAACAATTTAGACCGTCACCTAGCAACGGCCCTTAAGTACCAACTCATCTGATGGGGGGACGGAGGTTGGCTCGTCTACCATAACATGAGTGATGAGGAAGAGGAAAACACCAGAGGGAGTTTTTCTTAGGCTGTGACGCAGAAGAAGCTTCAGTGGAGCTCCTGTTTCACTCCCACGGTGGAGCCACATTCATTTTAATGTCTGTCTGTGAAAACTTTGCAACTTTGCAGCTGAGAAAACATTAAAGACTTTTTTGCATTCAAATCATTGTTGCCGAGGGTTTGATGAGAAAACCGCTCTCATGTCTGTACAATAGATATGTCAATATATGTCCTAGTGACTGCTGAGTGACAGCAGCATGGGTAGTTGGACTGACGACGTTAGGCAGTGGCCCCCAGTTACTGATGAAGGTGACTTATCAAATTGTATCTGTTAGTTAGATCTGTTGCAACAATAGCCAGAAATAGTAATACTACTGTACTAGATAGCTAGCTCAGTCAATCAATCAAGAGTTTAATTTAATCATCACAGACAAGTTATATTAAATAAAATTGTTAATGAATAAATAAATTAAATAAATTCAATTAGATAAATTCATGTAGTTCATAGGTAGTCAAGATTATTAATTAATCACTATCTATGGGATCTATGTAAAGTGTATGGTCTCAGACAGGAGCACTCTTCATGAAGTAAAAGCTTGTGTGTTTAACATTCAGTTTATTTCCAACGTTTGTCACTACTGTTGGAGCAGCTGAAAACTGCACAGGTTCTTCCCGGTTTCCCAGATCTTGTTGTAAAAGTAGTGTTACATACAAACTAAAAAAGGAGAAAATTGTACACTGCCTTGAACAGCTTGCATTCAAACATGCACGTACTGTAGGGAGACGCCACGGCAGAAATGGCGACCCACTTTCCCGGATTCGTGCATAGTTAGCAGTTTGTTAGCTTAGTTTATGTAACAAAATGTAACAACATCTATCAGCACCACCTGTTACTTCTCCTTTGTTTAATCCATTAAAAAAGTTAAGATTATATGTGCTGGACTATTTCTTGGCCTGGAGCAGTTGCCAGGAACCAGTGGAGACTAATTAACTATCTAAGAAATAGCCCAGTACATAACCATCCATAAAACAGCAAATTAATTACTTATTAACTACTTTTTTTTGTATAGCTGAAACAAATGAGATCATGCATTAGGGAGTTTTAGTGGTGCTGAAATGGTGATTTCTACCTTTGAACATAGACAGGTTTGCTGTTTCCCCTTGTTTCCAGGCTTTGTCCTAAGCTAAGCTAACTGTCTCCTGGCCATAGCCTCGTATTTAGCTTACAGACATGACAGTGGTATTGATCTTCTCATCTAACTCTGAGCGAGAGGTTCAGATTTCAGTGCTATCATGCATGCCCCAAAAAGTAATACCTCCTTCACATTTTTATACTTAAAACACAATCAAACCAACCTCCTCAAAGTGGTAGCGCGAGTCAATGCAGGGCTTGATCTTCCCCTGCTCGTAGAGCTCCAGCAGCTTCAACATAGTTTTGCCCAAGAGCTCCTCTTCAGTGATGTAGCCCAGGTGGAAGCCACAGACGGCCTTGTTGCTCTGCATCAGCTTCAGCGTGGTGAGAGAGAGCTGGTGGTACCAGGTCTTTGCCATAGCCAACAGATTCTTCTTCTGGCCTGTCACACAATTGGCTGCACCTGCAATGATGGACAAAATAAAAAAATATTTAAATATTACAGATAAGGAAAATGTCTTTAATTAAGCTGTTTTCCATATTAATTTTGAATATAGGAATGTATGAGGCAAGAAAAACAACAAATAACATAACATAGCTTGTCATGGTGGAATAAGGTAATACTGTTACATTTTTAAGAAAGAAGATTTCTTTGGATAGTGTGAGTGGGAGAGGCTACTGCATCCAATCTCACACCTGAGTGTCACACACTGAGTAATTTTCAAGTCTGCATTGAAAATGTCATTTAAAAGTACTTAAGTATTAATGGAAAAATGGACTCTACAATGCGATATGATCTATCTCATGTTGCTGTTAGCTACCATTTAAATCAAGTAATTCAAATTAAATAAAGATAAAATCAGACTCAACAAATACATAAAAACATCTTTTTTGTTTCCAAATGTCTTACCAAAGACTATAAGCGTGCCCATAGGTTTCAACAAACTAAAACCTTTCTGGGTGTCTGAACCACCGAGAGGGTCGAGGACGATGTCCACTCCTGCAGAGAGACACAATGAAGAAAAGGGGCATAGATGAGACAGAAAAATAAAAATAAGGAGCTGTTTTATGTCTCTATATCAACTTCATATTCAGGAAACAAAAAGACACTGAAATATTGTTAACAGGAAATAGGAAAATATGAACTTCTTCATCGTGGTCAGGCAAGAAAAGGGAAGGACTTGTGTTTTTGTGCTCAAACACGACAATGTTGTGGGTGTTTTTTTTACCCTTTGGGCTGATTTTGCGGATTTCTTCCACGTAGTCTTTGGTGCGGTAGTCGATAGGGTGAGTTACCCCGCCTTGGGCAATGGTCTCATGTTTGGAGGCTGATGCTGTGCCAAAAACAGTCACATCCTGCACAGTCCGACACAGCTGGGTAGCAGCGATACCAACACCACCTACAGATGTGCAGACCAGCAGCACAAAGAAAAATGAGAATAGCAGCAACTGCAGGAGTGCATGCTAAAGCTTTTCAAGCTCTGTGTGATCCCTCTCTGAAACACTATGTGATTTAATCATCAAACAGTGAAGGGCTTTAAGTGCTGTAATAGCACAGTGCTGATCTAATAAAAATAATCGATGAATAAAGCTACTTCCTGGATGACTCATACCTGCTTTACTAAGCTAATAAATACCAGAGTTGATTGAACATACTTATTTACTCATAATACCTTATTCAAAGCTATGATTAGGTGATTTGCCACTTAAACACCAACATATGCATTCAGATTTAAATAAAATCTTCTGTTATGTTATTATTTATTCATTTTTGTTGTGTCCTTTTGTAACAAACTGACACAGAGCAGTATAGTTATACACACAGTTATAAATGACTATACATGCAAGGCCATTAACAGTCAGTTTTCGACAGGAGTACCTGTAGTACCTGCACACCAACTCCATTAAATCCAAATAATTATTATCCTTATAGTGATTTTTGTGGATTGCCGGTGTGCCTCTTGTCATACTTTGTACAAAAACCTGTGCAATGCCAATCAAACAACCTCTTCAACCCCATGGATCCACCAGAGGCTCATTTATTCAAAACTCTGCAGCCAAACATTGTTAAAAAAGCACAGAATTTCATTTTAAATTCTAGTGGAGACACCGAACTGTCCACAGATATCAATTACGTCTCTTTACCTCTTCATTTTGGGGAAAATGTGAATTAAAAAAAAGAATATTTCCATTTGATTGAATGATGAAAAAACACAGTGTAAATGCCATAATGATGCAGTGTTGGAACAAACCAACAGAGAATATGCAGTATATGAAAAAAAAAAAAGAAAAGATTATCTTTCAACCTTTGGGGGGAATTGATCGGGGAAAACTGGATTTCAGGGGGTTAAAAGATAATACATGTACATTAGATTGAACTTAAAGAGTGGTGGATTTAGATTAATCTCTAATAACAACTCAGTTCTACAGTGGAGATGTGATTTTTCATAGTGTGTGAAACCTTCAGAGGCTGACAGCTGACAGTGATTTCTGCTCTCTATGGCCTTGTACTGTTTACTATGAAAGGTTTTTCATCATGGCTGCCTGGGTGTGCAAGCACACCAGTAATCCTCCCTGCCCTTTTCATCACCCAGGCCTCATGTGGCTGATTCATACAGGTCAGCTGACAGCCACCCGCCCACTCAACACTGAAGCATGGCCTTTGAGAGGGGGTGATGTAGAAGAGCACTGGACCGTGATGGTGGATGCTGACAGACACTTGGAATCGAGAGTGGTTGACAAACACTGAGCTATCTCATTTACTGCGGCTTTAACATCTAATCAAACATTTAATGTTGAATTCAGACTTTAATAAATAACTAAACTAAAGGTGACAAAAATGGCATGAAGAATTGTGAGTCTTTAAAAAGGTGAAAGAGTCATTTTAATTTGATATGCAAATCTCTAGCAAGCTGAATACATAGTAAATTGTTCCAATATAGATGCTGCGAATAATAAAACAACTAATCTAGGTTAAGATAACAAATCATTCTTCTACCCACTACCATCTAACAAACTGAGAAATTAGGCTTTTCTGCCGTAACTAGAGACCACAAAGCAGGCTTATAATTTGAAAAATTTATCAAGTTCGGAAATAAAAATAAAAATTCCCAGCATTCTGATGTTACAAAACATTCTCATAATTACCATTATTAAACAAATGAACTGGAAAAAAATGCTCTCATGAATATGTTTCACCATCTGAAAAGGTTTTGTAGTCGTCACACCCTCAAGAGAGGAACAACAAACAGCCACCACATCGAGGGTGTGGCTCTACCGCTCAGGTTACAATATTGATCAGATACAGCACCATGAGGCACGGTTACTGTGCGATCAATCAGTAAATTAAATCAGATTTTTAGCTAAAATAAGAATGCGTCCAAATGTTCAGAGTTCATTCTTTACCTTGACAACTAAAGTTTATAAAACAATCCCAATACAAAATCCATTTAGTAGCTGTTGGTCTACATCATCATGTCCACATTTATATTTTTCCTCAACACAAGCTGAGGTTCTGTTCAGCTGTTAAGCTGACATAGATGAGAGGTCCTTAGAGTAATGAAAAAATAATAGATAATTAAACTCCACCTGGTGATGAAGGATATGTGATATGATTAAAAGCATCAGAAAGGCTACTAAATAGATCTTGTGATGAGATTCATAAATTATAGCATGACAAAATGACGCAGGTTGATTTCAAAGGAAAGTCATGACATTTACTTGGCACCGGATGTTTCTAACGTCACTGACCCAGCAGGATGCCCTGGTACAAACTCAGAATTTAAAAATGGTTGTTTTTTTAATGGAACCTTTAAGAGGATTTATCAATTTATGTATATTTTGAAGTATAACTCAACACCAGAAACAAGCTGATTACTCCCTGTGGACACTGTGTCATTGGTTAAAGCTTTTGTAAACATGCCATCAAAGTGTTTTCTCTATGACATTTCATATTCATTAAAAAAAATAAGGACAGTGTGGGTGTGCTCTGATGATGAGAAATACAGAAACCTTTTATGTGAAATAATCACAAGTGTTCTAACTTCAGCAGATAGCAGGTTCACGTTGGATCCCATGGTTCACGGCTAGAAGCTGATTGAGAAAATGTGTTTTCAGGGCCTTTAAAAGATACAAATGAACTATCTCACTATATCACTGTGACTGATGTAATACTACCAGGACTGGGGGATTTAAACACCTGGACACACAATCCTCTACAGTAAATGAGACATAATTGCTTGTTACGCTGTTGGACCTTCTTTTTTGAAATGTCAAGTGTTGCCAAAGCAACCATGCCTGATAATGATCCTGTTTGCCATGATATGAATACTCTTTTATGAGACCATCACACACACACACACACATGCTTACTTTACCTATGACCCACGGTCTCATGGCTGATTTTCAGCACAGAAATGTGGCTGCATTCAGAGAAGTGATTAGTGACCTGGAGTGAACGAGCTGTGCGACTCTTCACAGGTTACCCCAGAGACTGTGGTAAATGTTTGTTATATTTCATAATTAAATCAGCAGGGGAGACTCTATGTCCAACCATCCAATATGGTGGAGACCACTGATGTAGGCTGAGGAGATGACTCATGTTTTGATTCATTTCTCGTAATTGTTTGGTATATGAAAATGTCAGAAATACAGTTTTCGTGCGTCAAAGATGTCACCTTGACATTGTATGCAAGTAACAGCCCAAAATTAAAACACATTCAATTTACATGGATTCAAAACAGAGAGAAGTGGTACGTCACCACATATAAGAAGCTATAACTAGCAAAGGTTTTGCATTTTTGCTTGATAAATAACTTAAACCGATTAAATGATTGCTCTTGTTGTCAGTTTGTTGTTTTCTGTGGATCATATTTTTGATTAAATGGTTAATGGCTTCAGCATTGCACTGCATCATAACATTTAAAAACCACAAAAGAAAAGAGAAGCAGAACTTAGAAGAAACTGCAGTTTGCAACTTGAATTTAACTGCAGGAATGATGAATCTCATTATTATACTGTCATATTTGATACTGATTAAGCCAAAGGAAGGGGCGTTTCAACACGTGTTTGCTCATCATTGTGTCAGACCCCGCAGACTCTGTTTGGACTAATCTGGGGGAAATGATGCAGTATCCGAAATAGCCCTCACTGCATTAGTAGGTACTGTGTGTGCCTCACCTGCTGCCATGTGAATAAGAACACTCTTGCCCGGCCTCAAATTGGCCATCTCAAACAGCATCATGTAGGCGGTCAGGTAGTTAACGGAAAGAGCAGCACCCTCCTCAAAGCTCATCTGCTCGGGCATGGGGAAGGTGTGGTTAGCGGACACAACAACCACTTCCTGCCACATGCCACTGCGGTTCATCACAATGACGCGATCCCCCACCTGATGGAGGAAAAAGGGAAGACAGTGAGGGAGGAGGCACGGGACCAAGTTACTGAGGGGAACAGTCAAACTAAAACACTGCAGCAGCAGAAATGTGTGTTTCCCAATGTTTAAGTTCTTGACATCAGCTTAAAACGAAAATACAGATAGATTTTGGTTTAATTTGTCCAGAGATATCTAGCTGTGAGATTTCTGTGTTCACTTCAAAAAAATGCAATATCACTGTTCACAATAGTGAAAAGTTTAATACAGATCTTGCACTGCCTCTTCCATGAGCTCAGTTTCTTCTGTCTGCACATCCTCTCTCTTGTCTTGAGTATATGACACTGGAGCTGGTATTTTTTTTTTTTTTCACACAGTGCATCCAGTGTCATCCAATAGGAAATTGAGGTCAAATGACACAAAGGCAAGTTATTACACTACTGCTCGGCTCTGTCAACATACACATTCATCCATACAAAAGAATGATTTTACAGCAGTCACCTTGTCATAATAATTAAACTCAAATTTCTTGAAATGTTTAATGGGTTCATTTGGACGACATTTGAACTACTTAAATTAAATAAATGAATTATTGTTTGTCTTATAAAATGCCCATTGCAATTTCCCAGTGCCCAACGTGACGTCTTCACATTCACGTCATTTGATTTGTCTGACGAACATTTTATGTAAACACTGTTTATTAGTCTCTGACCCCCCATCCCACTTTCCCAAATCCTTCCCAATAATAATATTGTATAATATAATAAAACAGTACAGGAAACTGATAATAATGTCTAACAAACAAAACAAAATAGCAGCACCAAAACTGACCAACATTTTAAAACCAAAAGACATTTGATTTACTGTCATATATAGGGCTGCACCATATGGTAAAAACATCATATTAATATTACATCTGGAGAACAAGATTTGTAGGCGAAGGCGTCTCTGCAGCACTACAGTACAACATTATAATGCTATTTTGTCACACATTTTACCCTTTTCAAAAATTCTGTGATTTAGATATTGCACTCCACCATATTGCGATTTTGATAATATTCCAATTAATTGTGCAGCTCTAGCTCTCTAAAAGGAACAGCTTATATTATCTTATCTTGTATGACGCAGAAAAGCAGCAAATCCTCACATATCAGGAGCTGAAACCAACAAATGTTTTAGCATTTTTCCTTACAAAATGACGGAAACAATGAAAATAGTTTTCCTTTGACTGACTAACAGAAATACATCACTTTGGTTGCATATTGAGAATTAAATTTTATTTGTACAGGCATCGTTAATGTGAAATTTCTACATTTCTACTTTCCTCTTTTAGAAAACACAAATCCAAAAATGTTGTCTTCCCACATACCGTCCTCAGAACAATATAACATAGAACTTGCTGCATGTGCCTGAACTATTTCTATTAGTATGAGCTCTGACAAGGCAGCTTATGGGAAATCTTGTTCCCGCTTTGTGTGCTGCTGTCTTCCACAGAGAAGTGCTATTATTAAAGTATCACCGGTGTTGTGAAACTTGCCAAAAAAAGTTAAGGGCACAGGAAAGAAGCCTGATCTGATTGTGAATGCTGCAGTGCTTCCTGTTAAAACAGCCTCAAGAGCTCTGATCCACACCCACTTCCTGCTGCACACAAGCCCTCGACAATAGACAGATGACACACACAAATATTTACACACACATTCGCAAACACACACACACACACACACACACACACACACAATTTTCATATGTCTGTTGCAGTGAGATAATAATATTTTTATACTTTAACTTTCACCTCAGATGACATGCTACTTTTTGGGTTGATTAAGTTTCTCAACCCTCGGTCTTATGAAACACTTTCAAACCCCCACTGGATGACCTCAAAACTGTAAGAGGCCAATTTAGAAAAGGCTGAGCTCAGTTCCTGGACAGCTGACATAAACTGAGGTAACTGAAATGATGTTTGAAGTAGGACAGCGAACAGTTCTCCAAAGCAGAAAGAGAACAAACATACAGATGGACAGTGGTGGAAGAAGTACTGTGTGTAACATTTAGGAGGATCTATTGGCAGAAATGGAATGTAATATTTATAGGTACGTTTTAATTAGTGTATAATCACCTGAAAAAAGGAAATGTTGTGTTTTCGTTACCTTAGATTGAAACTTTTTTATCTACAGAGGGACTGGGGCCATAATGAACTGCCATGTTTCTACAGTAGCCCAGAATGGACAAACCAAACACCGGCAATTTCCATGGCCACCATAGTTTATCCTACACACTTGGATGGGAAATGGTATTCAGTTGGTTGCAATCTGCAACATCACTGCTAAATGCCACTAAATGCCAAACACTCCACTGCAAGTAATCCTACTTCTGTGTTACTAGATTGTTAATATGAATGCAGCAGTGTGTACGCAGCATTTAAGGTGGACTGCTACTATTTTATATACAGGTAAGCAGTGTAGTCCAGTGGTTCAGTGTCAGACCACTCCAAAGGGTCATAAGATAAATCTGAGGGTTTCGGGAGATGATTAATGAGATTAGAAAGAAAAATGTTTTTATTCAAATTTTGGACTGTTATTTGTAAAATATTGGATAATTTGACCTCTTTGGGCCTCAGACGGTTATTAGATGAAACCAAGACTTTCAGACATCTGAAAGTTGTTTGGGGCCCTTGAATACACAGTTTTTTTTCTTTATTTGGTTGCAAGCCAAAAACAGTTGTGACCCACAATCTTTCACAATATGCTGTATTTTAAAAGCTTTTAGGTAAAAATCTCCATATGTAAAGTAACTACAGCTGTTAGGTAAATACAGTATCCGAGTAGTTACTTTCCACCACTGCAGATGGATTATTCATAATATTTTCATTCTAAAACATCAAAGCCACCTGCTTTAATTAACCAAATAGTGTGTAATGTACTGAGCTCATTACGCAGCAGATTGCTACACATCCTCTCATCTACATTAAAGTTGATAAAAGAGTTTATTTACAGAACAGATGGTGTATTTCTTTCAAATCGGCCGGTTGGAACTGTTTCACACAGAAATGACTGCTCCCACCTTTCCAAAATATCAATCAAGTGAGCCATAATCATTGAGCGTCAATGCATTTTATCTAGAAACATCTGTGACAAGGTAACGGTGGATCTGGAATCTGAAAAAGACGAGTCGTAAATGGGATCCTACATAACACATCTGCTCTGTCTGCCTTCCAGCGCGTCTTATGAAATAGCCACACCCTCCTGTCCTCATCTGTTCCCTTTATGTTATTATCCACTGCGCTCTGTGCCTATGTACACTGCAGTCCCACCCAGATTCTTACACTAACCTCACCAACCACCTTTTTCCCCCACTTTCCACATCATTTCAGTGCTTGTTACATTTTAAATTCTTTGCTCTATACTTGTTGGGATCCTTAATTTCACACACACACACACACACACACACACACACACACAGCTTACTGCACTTACTGCATCTGGGGTTTTGTGGTGTCTTGTGTTTTGCTGCTTCCTTCCAAAAAGGAGGTGTTGGAACGCACCACTCCCCCCTATAGTATTCCTGCTCTCCGAAAATGGAGAAAAAGGATGCAGGGTGGAATGAGATCAGGGTGGGATAGGAGTGTAGCAAGTGGAGGAGGAAGAAGAGGAGGAGGAGGGAAATTCCATACTGTCACAGAGGGACAGGGAGGAGCTTCAGTAATAATATAAAACACATGTAAAACTCAACCTAGAAAATATGTGTCTGATTAAAAGAAGACCGATGTCTGACCCCAAAGTATCTCATTTAGATTGACACAAAGTTAAAGGAGTTTGAGTACTTCGAGGCCTTGTTCACACTATATCTAAATATGGTTATTGTGTCTCATGATAATGCTTAATATGGTCAAGTTCACACTGAGAGGACTAATAAACGGCAGCTACAACTAGCAGTGATACATCCTCTTTCAAACAAGTCACAACAACTGACTGAAGTAGTGCGAAAACGAGCTTGGGTGCTGCATGTGTGGATGCACATACCACCGGTTTGTGACATTCGAGTCACAGAGCTAAGCATCCGCTGGTGTGGATAATATATACTGCATAATCAAAAAACTCAGAAGATCATCTAACAAGACTTGACACTGTTCTGAAGTTATTTCCACAATCCTTTAAAGACTCTTTCAACTATCTGGATGAAAAAATATTTCCTATGTTTACCTGTTTCTCAAGTTGCAACTGCATTTCCTATCCAGGTAGCTGGAAATTACAGCCTACACACCTACACCTACACAAAATGTCTTGTATGAAACTATAAAATGCTGGAAAGTGACATCAATTTAAACCAATATAATTGATAATAAAACATTATGGTTTTGATTCAAGGTTTACAAATTGAGCAAGGAGATAGGGAGTAATTTCCAGGTGGCAAACTAAGCCACTAAGGAAACTAGTTAAAAAAAAAAAAAATGTCATCATGCAAAAGAGATCCATCCAGATGGTTAGCTATGTAACTCGAATCTAATGTTAATATATGAGAGGCACAAACTTTAGGCAAGGATGCTCAATGATTAACTGTGCAGAGCTTCCTGAATGATTAATTTCTCTTGAAAACATTGGCAGGAATAACAAATCATGGAGTCAACTTCAGATCCTCAACCAAAGATGCTTCTTCAGTTTGATAAAAATTATTTAAAAAAATAAAGAGGAGAGTGAGAGAAAAACATCTGCCTGAGTGCGTTCTGCCTGGAAGTCATTTGTTTATGAGATTTACATACAAATGCATCTCTTATGAACCCAATGACACAGCTGAAAAGTCAACTCAATGAAATATGCGTGTTTTCCAGCTTCCACATGCATGATTACACGCACACAGAACACAAGCGACTCCAGTTGAAGACCAACAATGATGGCGGAAAAAAACAGTTTGCAGCTTGGATTCTTTGCACCAGTGGAGGTAAATAAATCTGAATCTCAAATTGAAACCTGGAGTCTTTGATAAAGCTGTGACATGAAGTCGCAGTGAGTCAATATGGTTTCAGCCTCAATATGCTGTAAAAAATAAATGCGGCGTAACCAATGGAGCCTTTGGCCTCTGGGATCAACTCTGCAGTATGTCAAGAAAATGGGGAACGGGTAGGCTTCAAATAGATTTAAAACTACGAGCACTCACAACTAGCAGGTGTTACTACCTGTTTCCACTCTTTTTTAACTTGCAAAAAGCAGGAATAGCATGAAAACTTGAGGCTTTAACATCTGGGTTTATGAATTTAAAGGAGGCACAGACACATAACATAGAAATATTCTATTACCTATACTTAATAAAACTCGACCTTTGGAAAGCTCTTATCAAAGAGAGGGTAAATATTCTCTTGTGCCAATGAGAAGAATATAAAAACACGTCAAGGACAAACTGTAAATCAAACACTGTAACTATTCATAAAGCCAGAATGTTACATCTTGCTGACAGAAAGCATCTTTTCACACAGTTTTTTTTTTTAATGAAGACACCACAATGGACTGATGGAGGTTATTTATCGAAAGGGTTCTGCTTATTCATTCTGCATATACAACGTACAGCACAGAACTGCTTTAAAACATAGATAAAAGACAAAAAATGCCTTTGTGCAAATAGATGGAATTAATTATTAAATATTAGAGATGTGCATCTGTATCAGTGAGGCTGATGCAATATGCATCACGATGTATTGGCAACAATCTGATTCATTAAAGATAGATATGAAGCAACTACCAATGCAATATGATACAGTTCACCCTTACTGAGATTTGATTTAATGGAAAAGAATATAATGCTAAGATGAGAAATAAGAAGATGTTAGAAACAGTACATCCCGATTTCATCCCAATCTTTTTGGTGCAATCACATCCTGAACTTCCTACTACATATAGAGCTGAAACAACTATTTTGATGATGAATAAATTGTTTAAGGTATCTTTGCCAAGCTTTTATTGGTTCCAGCCTCTCAGCTGTGAGGATTTTCTGCTTTTCTGTGTGTTATCTTGTGGAAATCTTGAATATTTGGGGGTTTTGTTGGACTGTTGGTCTAACATAAACAATTTGAAGACATCATCTTGGTCTTTAGGGAAAAAAGTGCCCTATTTAGATAATATTTAAGATAATCAGATCAATATTTAGATATTTCCCCAATTATGGCCCAACAAAGAAATTAGAGGAACTTTTTAATAGACTTTTCTTCAAATAAAACAGTGAAGCAGGCTAATGGCTTTGTCTGTTTTCTGCCATTAAACGCCATTGATAAACAGGTTTTCTTGATTTCTCTACGACTTTCACAAAAGAAACGGGGGGTTGGCACTAATCTGGTTTAGTGTTTGGAAAAGATTACTCGCATGTCTTGGCCAGGAAGGAGAACCCATGTGCCACTGAGGACCAATAGGGTGCAGATCTCCAGTCCACAAACACTTGTCAGTGAACTCAGCTGATGTGGGTTTAAATCAAAATCCACAGCACATGACTGCACATTGTTTACGCGCACAGTGGCATTTAGTGGGTGTGAATGCACTCAGCAGGCCTTTACTCACTTTCCGGTCCTTCACATCCTCCGCAACCGCTTCAATGACCCCGGAGCCCTCCATTCCCATCGTGACAGGCGGGGCGGGCAGCAGCTCGTACAGCCCCTGTCTGCCCAGCAGCTCGGCGAAGTTCAGCCCGCACGCCTTGACGCGCACCAGGATCTCCCCCGCCTGCAGCTGCGGCTGGCTCTGCGCCTTCACCTGCAGCTTGACTTTGTCGTAGCCCCCGTACCCCGTCAGGACCAGAGCCCTGCAGGAGAGAGGCTTCTCCTCGGCCGCAGGGCTGCTCCCTCCCGCTGCTGCAGCCTCCTGCTGCGGTGCGTCTGAGGCAGCAGCCGGCGGAGGCTCATCGGGTTTCTTCTCCTGCTCAGGTTGTTGCTGCGGAGTTGGAGCCTCTTCGCCAGACATGATAACCACTTGTGATGAGCACCCTTCTCTAGGTTTTCAGTGCAGAGCGGCAGTTCAGCCTGTTTGGGCGTTTCTTTTGGGAAAATAGAAATTAAAACAAATATTTTCTGGTGAAAAGTGAAATGAGTGTCCGTCAGCACAGACGGTCCGAGCCTTTGTAGAAAATGAGATTATTGCTGCGTGGTTTCCTGTGTGTGTGTGTGTGTGTGCTCCGCTCAACAAGTGACCAATGTCAGAACAGACACATTTAAAGCCTTGATTCCGGTTAGGATTTTCACAATAACACATTTGAGCGTTTGAGCGTTTTAGTTTTTTTTTGGTCTGTGACTCAAAAGCAATTAGATTTATCAAAAATCAAACAAAACAAACAAAAAAAGGAGTTGATTTCACAATAAAAACAGATCTAGATTTTGCTGGTGACTTTAAAAATAAAGTTACATTTAAAGAAATAAAAAACAGAAACAAGCAATGCCATTAGGTTATCCTGACCCAAGAAATCATGGCTTTTTGCTTTTTTAACAATTATATAGAAGAAATATGTGTTAAAAAGTGCATAAAATGCTAAGAGTTGAATAATTACATTTTGTCTCTGTGTGGGTGAAATTCTTCCACATCAACCTAAATATTAAAGCAATATTTCTGTGAATGTAACTGAATATGTTCTTTTAAATCTGAAATAGACATAAAGCATCACAATTAGATGTCACTTAAACAGCTAATAAACTTCTATCTAGTTGCACATGTAGGCCTACTCAATATTTGCTGGGGGTATTTTAAAAATGTAATCCGATACAATTACTCATTACCTATTGAAAATGTAATCATTAACCTAATCCTAAGTATCACAATATTAACATTACTCCCCAAGCCTGGTTGTGGTTAAGATTCCAGTTTTTGAAGTGGTTTTTATAACTTGAAAAAGCGTTTATTTAAATGCAAAATCTTGTAACTTCCGGTGTTTCTCTACCTGTTTGTGGCTGACTTGACGCAGCTGAAAAAGTGACCGAACCGTGTTGTTGGCCAAATGTGAGTCAGAGAGCTGCGGAGAGCTTCAAACCCCGGATACTGGAGTACTGGGAGGAAGACAGGGGAAGTCACAGCTGGAGGAAATACATGCAGCTACAGTTCAGCTCCCACCTGCTATTCAGGAGGGAATCTAGTGCATATGTGGATGAACAATGTTCTCCAGTTATTGACCATTATAGTAAAATAATCAAAAGAGTCTAAAAACTTACAGGGGGTTATACTGTAGAGGGTTTACCCCCTACAGCAATGGTGGTTGGGACCCCATGTAGGGTTTGCCCAAGCTTCATAGGAGGTTGCAAGGCCTTCTTTTTATTTTTAATATAAAGAAAACCCTTATTTAAGGCCTTTACAGACATTTAAAAAAACAGACACAGCTTTACAATTTTATTAGGATGCAATCAAGCAAAAAATATTTAAGACTCTCTCTCCATAATGGCAATAACTTGTTTCTGTACCCACCCACAGTCTGTGCACACGTACAGATTCTTGCACCCTGCAAATGAAGCTGCTTTGTCATCTTGTGGTGGTTGAGTCTGACAGACAGGAAGCGAAGGGTGGTGAGAAATACAGAGACAGGTTTTTAAAAAGGGCAGGTATTTCCTCTTTTGATATAAAGACACAGGTAAGGTCAGAAGTTGCCGCTTTAAACTTCCTTTCCCCCTGTTCAAGTTCAGAGGAGGTTGTCGTTGAGACATCTGCACACATATCTGCAGTACAGTGCAACTGGTAAACACGCAACCACACTGGCATCAATGTAAACGCACTTAATAAATACAGAGTCATCGCACAGTTTCTGCAAACATGGTGTTGTTGGGTCTGAGGGAAATGTGGTAAGTTTTCCGAGATGCTCTATATTTTACACACACACACACACCAATCACAGTTTTTCAGCCACAATCAAGATGCTTTTCATTGCACATCATGTGACCACTTGTTGGTGAATATATGCTGTTAAAGTTGCTCTCAGCCACATTATTGTCTCTAAAGCTTGTTGTTGTAATTGTCCCAACCTATAACACTGTGTGTTCAAGATAAGGCTCAACTACAGCGAATGATGAATGACAGCGAGCAGGATCATTAGGGATGGATCGGGTGTCTGCAGCACAGTTGTGTAACAACCATATTTTAAATCAGTTCCTCAGTGATCCCGAATATCCTTCACTTCAGTTATCGAGCCACTTGTTACTTTGCAGATTAAGAT